TGACAATATTTTCAAGAAATAAATATATAAAAGATGGGCTTCGTAACAGCCGAACTAGCTCAGCTGGGAGAGCGTTAGCCTGAAGATGTAACTGTTCCCGGTTCAATCCCGGGTTTCGGCAATCCGGTTTTTTTCTTTTTTTTCATTTTATTTTTATTAACCCTTTGCACTCGAGAAGCGATTCTCAGTCGCTATTTAATTGAACGCAACAAAATGATAAAATAAAAAATTCAATATAACACGTTGAATAAGGTATTAACACATGGAACAGAAATGAAACAACTCTGACCCATAATTTATGCAAGGTGTTTCTTTATGTAAGTTGAAAATAATGTTGTTAATATTTTGTCAAAAAATAATGAATGTTTGTAATGAAAAACATTGTCGACTGCACAGGGTTATCAATATTTTCAAGAAATAAATATGTAAGAGATGGACTTCGTAACAGTCGAAATAACTCAGCTGAAAGAACTTCTTTTCAACCAGACCGCCTATGGTAGGACGAGAGTAATAGTAGTAGAATTTCAGAAAGTCACGGATTCTTTTCTAGGAATGTGTGAGTTTACGATTGGTGAAACAGACCCCGAGCTCGACCGATCTCAAGCTCAACACGCCCCGAGGCTCAAAAATCTTTTCGAATCCAGAGTCCACATCCTTGTCTGGCGTCTTCCTACAAAGTATAGCGATTCCGATGGTGCATAGCTCGGGAACATGAGCCTCGTTCAACACTAGAAAATGACCAATTCCTAAACTGCTTCTTTTACAATTGCTGCGAAGGTACAGATACTTCTTTAACCACTTGCGCTGGTAGACGTGCCACGTACGTCGAGACGTTTCTTTCCCAAAATTGTCAATGATTTCTTTCACACATTGATAATCTTGTTGCATTACGCCTATTAGATTACTTCGAAATGTATCACTCTATACAGAATGATTAACAAACAAAATAAGTGTACATATCAGCGTAAAATAGGTAAAAAGAAAATTCATCGCAGGAGACTTTGCCAAATTTCTGAATTCATTTCCAACGCAAGTGGTTAAGAAATAATTAATGAAGCTGATTTAGTAATACCTAAATTGTAACATAAGCCAACTGAAATCTTAATAAATTTACACTTTTAGCTCTTATAAAGACATTTTAAAAAGATGATTTAAGTGTTCGGTAGTTCTAGTGTCAACCCCTCGGAAACCCTCGCACTTCTAGAAAAGAATCCGTGACTTTCCGAAAATCTATTACTACTACTGCGGTACTATCGCAAGCGGTTCGCTTGAAAAGAAACCGTACAGCTTTCGAGCGTGCCTGGGTGTAGCATGTCCCGCTGTACGATGCGTGAAATGCGTAGTGCGATACGCACCGACGTCGTAAATCGCGGTTCGGGGGTCGTCGAGTGAAAACATCCTTAGAGTGAAGATCTAACCCTTTGCATTCGAGAGATGACTCTCGCTCACCACCTGATTTCACACAGTAAAACTAAAATTTTATTATTAACCCCTTGCGGACGAAGTTACTTTGAAATATACAAAGTCTTCAACGAATGAAGTTAAATTAAATATCAATTACTTAATTAATAAGAAAAAAGGAAACTACGAGCCGATCCAAATATGAGCACTCCATCTTTCCGAAGTGTCGACATTTGTCCGCAGAGTTAATATTATTATACCTTATACAACGCATCGATTTGAAAAATATTAAAATAAAACAGCTTTGTTCCTGAATGCACATATGATTTCTTTTCGAGTTAGTTCCACAAAATATCGTCTTTATCTCATCAGAAAATGTTAAAATATTTCTAGTGAGAAACTTCCGAGTACAAAGGGTTAAATATTCCCGGCAATCTATATCTTCTTTCTTTGTCATCATATTTTCATGAATGCATTTCTCCAGTAACTGTGCATGTAAACAAAAATTTCCAAGCAGCCGAAATAGCTCAGCTGGGAGAGCGTTAGACTGAAGATCTAAATGTCCCCGGTTCAATCCCGGGTTTCGGCAAGTTTGCGATACTTTCTTTTACCTCTTGCTCTCACAAGCATATATATGTGAAAGGATATATAAGGCTGCAGTTCTCGAGAGCCGAAATAGCTCAGTTGGGAGAGCGTTAGACTGAAGATCTAAATGTCCCCGGTTCAATCCC